GAAGTGTAACAGAGCCAAAAGCTGAGGTAAGCTACTTCAAATTCAGCTTCACAAGTAACATAGCTGAAGTTGCATATCTTAATTAAATTTTGTCCTGTAGCATAGATATACCCTATAAGGCAACGTCTACACTGGCATGATTTTCCGAAAATGCTTTTAATGGAAAAGGCGATCGAGGCTTTTTTTGCGGAAAAGAGCGTCTAGATTGGCAGGACGCTTATTCGCAAAAGCACCTTTTGCAGAAAAGCGTCTGTGGGCAATCTAGACGCGCTTTTCTGCAAAAAAGCCTCGATCGCCTTTTTCACGATCGGGGCTTTTTTGCGGAAAACAGTACTATGCTGTCTACACTGGCCCTTTTGCGCAAAAGTCTTTTGGAAAAAGACTATTGCCCGAACAGGAGCAGCATAGTATTTCCAGAAAAGCACTGATGATCTTAAATGAGATCGTCAGTTCTTTTCTGGAAATTCAAGCGGCCAGTGTAGACAGCTGGCAAATTTTTCCGCAAAAGCAGATGATTTAGCGGAAAAACTTGCCAGTCTAGACATAGCCTAACAGTGTTCCTCAACCAGTGATATGTGTATCCTTAGGGGTATGCAAGATAAGTCTGGGGGGGAGGGGTACATCAGCACAAGTGAAAATTGGAAAAAATGTCTGGGACTTTGCCCTACAAAGAAGACTGGGAAAGGAACAGTGGCACGTGCCTGTGAAATTGAATGTTTGGAGTCACATGCCTGGACAGTAACAACATCCCTGCACAGACGCCAGAGCGCCTGGTGGGAAAAGCACGTGGCTGCAGAAACTCCGATGAGACCCAGGACAATTCCAAGTTGGGGGCAGTGGGTTTGGCCAGTAGCATAGCGAGGGGACAGTTGCCCTCGAGCGCCATACTATAGAGGTGATGGGCTGGGAGTGCACAGCCCCACACAGTGAGCCCGGTACTGGTGAGCCACTTGCTCCCTGCAGACAAGCCACTGAGGCAGAGAGGGGCAGCAGGAGCAGGCACTTCAAAGGTACAATTACCATATGTCCAGTTTTTCCTGGACTTGGCCTCATTTTCTCATGTTAAATTGCTGTCTGGCAAGCTTTAAAAAAAAAAAAAAACACAAAAAATAGCCAGATTTCTGGGAAGAGGCAGTAGCACCTGACTTCAAAGGAACGTTCAACTGTCTTTGGAGCCGAGCACCTGGGCAGTTCATGGCTGCTGTGCATGCACCCCAGCACCTAGAGGGAGAAGTGTGTGGTTGTGGTTCCAGTGAGACCCAGGCTACGTCTACATTGTGCTCTCTTGCACAAGAACATATGTAAATGAGGCACAGCAATGAATATCACCATGCTTCATTTGCATACTTAATGAGCCACCATTTTTGCATAAGGGACTTTTGCACACGAAGAGTCTATACTCATATACATCACCACACCTCATTTGCATATGTTCTTGTGCAAGAGTGCACAGTGTAGACATAGCCCCTGGGTGGTGTTAAAAGAATCTGGGGCTCCCTGGCTCTGGGGAAGGGGCACTGGTTTAGTGGGAGGGCTGGCTCTGGAAGGGGGGGGGTTCATTGAGTTGGACCAGAAGAGGAACTAGAGGGTGCCTGGCTCTGTGGGAAGGGTAAGGACAGTGGGTTAGACTGAAGGTATTTTTTTAAAGGGGTGCTTTAAAATAAAGGTTGAGAAACACTGCCCTACAGCATTATCTAAATCACTGACAAAAATATATAACTGGTCCACAAACTGATCCTTGTTATGCCTGTCCAGCATGACTGTGAAGCTTTAATTATTCTCTGGGAATGGTTATGCATTATACACCCACCTTATGCTCCACCTAGGTTTAGTTTCCTACTTTAATGTTATCATGTATTAAATGCCTTGCTAAAGTCTAGATATACCACATCTACCACTTCATCATCCACAAGGCTTGTTATACTATCAAAGAAGCTATCAGGTCAGTGGACATGATTTGTTCTTTACATAGCCACATGATTACTTATTACCTTATCTTCTGAAGGTTTGCAAATTGATTTCTTAATTATTTACTCCCTTCTTCTGAAGGTTTGCAAATTGATTTCTTATTTACTCCCTTCCTTCCTGGTACAGAAGTTAAGATGGCCTGTAATCTCCTGGGTTGCCCTTATTTCCCTTTTGGAATCGTCACAGAATATGAAATTTTCAAATGTAACAGCTAATAGCACAGATATTGTCTATCACCTCTTGAATATTCTAGAATGCATTTCATTAGGGCCAGGTAACTTGAAGGCATCTAATTTGTCTAATTTTTTAACTTATTCTTTTCCCATTAGCTTCTGAACCTATCCCATTTTCAATGACATTCACTGTTAGGCATCCAATCACCCCCCCTCCCCCATGTTCACGAAAATGGAAACAGTCATTAAGCGCCTGTGCCATTTCATATTTTCCATAATTTTCCCCTCTTCATTGAATAATGGCCCTATTCTGTTCTTGGTTTTACTCTTGCTTCTAATATATTGGTATGTTTTGTTACCTTTTATGTCTCTTACATCTAATTTGTCTAATTTTTTAACTTATTCTTTTCCCATTAGCTTCTGAACCTATCCCATTTTCAATGACATTCACTGTTAGGCATCCAATCACCCCCCCTCCCCCATGTTCACGAAAATGGAAACAGTCATTAAGCGCCTGTGCCATTTCATATTTTCCATAATTTTCCCCTCTTCATTGAATAATGGCCCTATTCTGTTCTTGGTTTTACTCTTGCTTCTAATATATTGGTATGTTGTGTTACCTTTTATGTCTCTTACTAGTCTGAGCTCATTTTGTGCCTTGGCCTAATTTTGCCCCTATGCACTTCTCTGTGATGGGACAGCAGCCCAACTACATATAAAACTGACAAGCAAACTGATACCAGGAAATATTAGGCTCTTACTAGTACTCCTCTATATTACATGCTATAATACTGGTGAGTATAGGGCAAATGAAACCACCTGAACTACTCATCCTGGAAGGGAAGCTGGCAGAGAGAATCTGAGGTGGTGTCAGCAGTTTTTTCCATCAAGTTTTCCTGGAAGATTTGATAAAGAAACAAGAGGCACATACAGGGGTGTACAAAGCATGAAGCACAGGAATGAAGTCAGAAGTGGAATGGGGAAGACATACAGCAGAGCCCAAAACAAAACTGAAGACCTGAATCAGAGAACATCTTCCTAATTTCCTATAATACAGAGCACTAGAAAGTTAAAAAAAATGCAGGGTGCTGTAAAATACACAGGATCAACAGTCTATTCTGCAAGCCCATCAGTTTCCTTTTCACTGGCCAGCTCCCACTCTTCAACTATGTCTATACTGCGCATTGTTGTGCAATAAGATATGCAAATTAGGCACAGGGATGAATATCACCATGCCTCATTTGCATATCTAATAAGCCACCATTTTTACAGAAGGGGGTTTTGCAGAGAGCTGTCTACACTGCTCCTTCTTGAACAAAAAACTGCTCTTGGGCAGTTTCTTCCTGAAAATAAGCAGCACAACAGCTCTGCACAAGAGGGTTTTTTTGTGTGCAAGCAGTGTAGATAGCCCCTAGTTGCGCAAAACTCCTTTCTGCAAAATGGCAGTTCATTAGGTATGCAAATGAGGCATGGTGATAATCATCCCGGTGATTCATTTGCATATCTTTTTGCACAATGTGCAGTACAGATGTAGCCTTAGATTTACCAAGGCCTGCCAAAGGCCCATATAATTTAGTCTCCCCTGTAAGTTTGGCAATTAAAGCTATCACTTGATATGCAGTTTTTTAAAATGACCTTGAGGGGCTAGGATTCTGCAGCTCCTAGTCATTAGCAGGATCTGAAGGTAGTTAGGACCTCTGTAAAATGTGTAGTAAAAAGGAATATAATCCCAAGGTACATCATTTTATCAGAGTTCTATGTATTTTTTGCTCAGCAGAATGAGCTGGAGCCCTCAGCCAATAGGTGCTAAGCAATGTTTTGATGTATAGTATTGGGGATTTATATAAGCATATGAAGAACATTCAAGTTCAATGCTATACCATATAAGAAACAGATGCTATTTAGTGGATTTAAAAAACAAAAAACCCCTCCAAGACCTGTGGCCTTAATCCCACAACTGGTTCTGGATAGAGCAATAGGAACACTAATGGAATTTGGGGACTAATATAAGGAATAGGATTTTGTTTCTGTATGCAGTTTTCCTCGGTAGTAGAGAAAGACTTGCAGAAAAGTGAGGTGACTAGATCATTTCCACACTGTAACATTTGGACTTTCTTGAAGTTAGCCATTGGGAAAAAATTGGGGAGGACAGATACTTGGATGTCCATAGGTTACTTTCAACCTTTCAAAATAGCTTTTGCATAGGAATTGTTTTGAACTTGAAAAAATAATTCATGTCTCAGCAGCTCACTCAGGCTGTATCCATATCATCACATACGGGGAAAAAATTGGGGAGGACAGATACTTATCCATATCATCACATATATAGTCAGCCTGTTACATCAAACAAGCCAGCATAACACCAGATCAGGACTTGATTAAGAGTTTTCTAGGACACAGTCAACTCTGGAAGTAATGTTGACAAGCCAATATTTGGCTCTTCCTGATGGTTAGACTTATTAGTGGAGGCAGATAACAGGTAGATAGGACATGGGTTATGCATAGCTTTCCCCCCTCCCCCCCCTCCTGAGGGTAAGTAATGTGTACTGAAGCCATTCTTCATGTTGACAAGTTACACAGCAGTACCTGTATCACTCTCCCTCAAATTTCTATGGGGCAGAATAGTATAAGCTTGTTAGCATAGTTCAGTTTGCTAGAGAGAAAACTTCATTATAAAAGGATACCTTCTCTACAAGAAAACAGTCTTATCTAGCTAAAGTGAAAGGGGCTTGACTTCTAGATTAGCAAGACCTCAGTTGCATCCCTACTACTGACAGGAAGTTCATAGTAAAGGGGGGCTACAGAAGCACCAATAGCCATTAAGTTCCTAGAAATCCTAAAATGTGCAGTATATATTACTTCTTGTTCTTGTGTAAATGCTATTGAACTGAGAAGCCACATTCATGACGTATGAAAAGATTCTTCAGTTAAAGCTCCATGGCATCCTTAAGCTGAAAGACACAAGATTATTATTAGTTCAATTTCAACAGCTGAAAACTATATTTAAAAAATTGTTTCTGCAACAAGGGTCCTTCCTCCCCCCCCCGGAAGTTAGTCAAAATACCAAAGTTTTTTCCTGAAATTTTACTTCCAAAATGCTACCTCATTTTGACCAACATCCCTGCCCCCTAAGAAAGTTCATTTTCTTTGGGGGCTCTGTGTGAGTAATTGTCAACATTCTATCTTCTCCCAGTGGGAAAAAGGGGGAGGGACAAAAATAAAGAGGAAGTAGGTGAAGTTGGTTAAAATATCTTTTTGATTTTACAACTGGAAAAGCAACATGGCAGGGGGAAAAAAATGAATCCCTTTTTATTTCCAAAAAGGGAAATGGTCAGCTCAGCTTGATTTAAAACTTTTCAGAATTTCCTGAGAACGTTTAGACATAGTCCTTTGGACATTTTCCAACAAGTGTTATTTAAAAAAAAAAAAACTTTGCAGCTCTATCTCCAAATTCAATATTCCTTTGGCATCAGGGATAGACACCACTGTACTTTAGACTTGGTACACACACGAGCTGATTTTTTTTTTAAATCAACAAACGGTAGCTGATATACTTGACAGTTTCATCTACCATGGCCATGTTCAAGGAGGAACCACATCTCTGAATTTATACACAGACAGTCTCATCTGGGGACTAGCACGTTACATTGGTGTGGATTTGCTTTCATTATATGGAGTCTGCAAAGAAGTTAGAATTCACAAAGAATTTCCTGAAAGACAAGGTTTTCTGAAGAGCTACAGTCTTACTTGAATTTCTGCAGATGAACTTGTTTAGATGTCTGCTTATACTTATTCCATTTTAACCAAAATACTGAAAAGCCTAGAAGTGATTATACACATCCAAATGCCTGTGTTTCCTTCCCAGAAAGGCTCTACCTCCATGCAGACAATTTTGCTCCATTTTTGTTCTATTAAGCAAAGAGTATGCTCCCCAGAAACTTGGATTTTCAAGGACTCTTTCTTCAGCTGTTCAGAAAGTTAGATGAAATATATGAACTACAGTTACTTTCACAAGTGTGGCAATCTAGTGTGTCTTCCTATCAAAGAGTTATAGTAACAGCACAAGTACAGACAATACTTATGGGCTGAGCTGCTGTACAGACCGTGAAACAAGTTTGCTACCAAAGCAGTATTAGAAAAGACAAAAGGATTCACACATTTTGAGAAGTGTCAAAAGCTCTGTCTTCAACTGAAAAGCCACTTGAAAACTTACCATATTACCTAAAAAGACAGCACTTCTACTACTGCAGCACCATTTCCTGTCACACTAGTCAGCAATACAGTATCTGAATATGAAGAAACTTGGAAACATAATGCTGGTGTTTGTTGTCTTTAAATTGAAAAATAATTTTAGAAAACTGTCACATTGCATCTGTGAAATATATAAGTGAAACTTCTGAAAGATATGGCAAGTGTGATTAATGAACATCACTGATAGCTGCAGATACTAGTGTAGAGCTTTACAATCTTAAGAGGGGAAAAAAAGTTAAATTATGTAATACAATCTAGTCTATACACTTAATCTCTTAATCCCATAATTTTGGGAAATAGGCCATGCCAGATTATGGAATTTTCCATACCATAGGTGTTCACCATAATGAAAGGTGGTAAGGGCGGAGGAGTGGAGTCTGAAAGGGGAGTGTGTGAAGGGGTTGGGCACGGGGCACTTCCCAGGGTAGTGGCTCCATGCCCCCTACTGCTCCCAAATACCACCCTGTGCTAATAACCGAGTGGGGTGAGAGGGAAGGGGAGCCTCCAGACCATGGATCACTGCACTGCCATTCTCCCAGCTGAGAGGGAAGGAGAGCAGCACATGCAGAACTACTTGCTATCCCACTGCCAGGGTACAAACCTTAAGTGTTCTTGGATCATGGATACCTCAGTTATGGAGGTTCAAGTGTACCACTTACCATGCACTGGACTTACAAACCAACTTGATATTGCAATTGTCCCCCCCCCTTTTTTTTTTAAATAAAGGTGACATTCTCTGATAACTCAAAATTGCTGTTACAAAAGCATCAACCTATGTCTTCAGGGGAAGAAGCAGCCCATCTTCTTTAGGCAAACACTAGAAGAAAAATAAGTTGTGTGTTCCTAAAAATAGGGGACAGCTATGCTGACCCAATGCACAGTGAAGGTGTACAAAGCAAGCTTCCCCACAAATCCATCGAAGAAAGTGGTATCTAGAATCTGTCCACTCACTGCTGTTTGTTGGTCAGGAAACCTGTCAAATACAAAAAAAGGCAGGCTGACTCATCTCTGACAAGACAGCAGATAATATGCGGAACTATCTTTCACAGGATGAAGATCAATTATCTAAGCACTAATTCAAAATACTTACTGCTTTGGCTTAATATGAAGAGCTTCCAGCTGATCAGATGTAGCCTAGATTTAGTTTTAAATCCTTAACTAGACAGCTGTTCTTCCAAAATTATACATCCCAAACCTTCTGGAAAAACAACAAAAACAAACAAAAAAAACCCCACACCCCTCATTTCTCCTCAGCAGAAATTATTGTAGCAGATTTCGCCTAAGGTAATGAAAAAACAGGAAAAGAACTTACCACTTGGTAAAACTGCTTTTTGTAACATCCATATACATTGGAGAAAGGAACTATGAGGTGCAAGACATTTTTGATCCAACAACAGACACGATATCGTTTACCTTTTCTTCAGTGTCCAACATGACAATAATTTTATTTGACTCCACCTAAAAATCAAGGCCTAAAGTGCTCAATACTAACTGACAGTTTTATGGGAGGATGGAGAAGGCAGAGTGTGTGTTATCTTCAGCCTAAAAAGCAGAGGCAGTGGAGGACATTTGCATTCCATTTCCTCAGTATCACTGTATCCTGAAAGAGAACACATTTGTTGCAGCGGCGACGGACAGGCCCATCGTCCCACATCTACGGCCCCGCTCATCAGACGCCCCGGAAGCCGGTACTGACAGTTTTATGGGAGGATGGAGAAGGCAGAGTGTGTGTTATCTTCAGCCTAAAAAGCAGAGGCAGTGGAGGACATTTGCATTCCATTTCCTCAGTATCACTGTATCCTGAAAGAGAACACATTTGTTGCAGCGGCGACGGACAGGCCCATCGTCCCACATCTACGGCCCCGCTCATCAGACGCCCCGGAAGCCGGTTTGAGTCGCAGCTCACCCGCCCTCCCTCGCCGGCGGCACCCGCTCCCCACCGGGAAGAGCCCCTCCGCTCGGTGCCGCGGCCAGGCCCGATGTGCCGGGCCCGGGGGGG